CTTACTCCTCCCTGCCGATTTCAAAATAATTTGTCACGTGACACGAGTTCGAGTAATTCGAAGGATCGCGAACGAGATCGTCGCGAACAATTTCGCGAATAATTTCCCCAAGAAATCTTGTGATCTTCAATCTCGATTTATCGAGCAGCCGAACGACGATCGCTCGTCGGTCGCCCGTCGCCATTTGTGCGAGACGAGAGCTGGCCCGCTCTGCGATCGCTGGTCCTTCGGCATCCGGCTAGACACTGGCCCCCGGCCGGATAAGCCGAAGGAGGATAAGAAATTGCGCGGATGAGGTAACTCGAATACCGGCGAGGACACCTTTTGCAAGTGGATCCTATAGGGGATGGATCGCCGGTTGGCCGACGCATGAGCGACTCGGGCCCGCCGCACTTGTGTCGCGGTTCTGCGGTCGGGGCATTATGGGGCCCGGACTGGGATAATTGCGGGCATCGACTCGTCTCCCTCTTTCTCTTCGTGGCAAGAGGACGACACCGGTGTGCCCCGGGGCCCATTATTCCGTGGGCCTAGATAACGATTGTCCCCGCTCGACCGAAAGTCGGCGCCTTTCATCTACGGACGAGAATACCGAAGATCTGTGTCGCCTACGCGGGATCTTGGCCGCATATTACGCGCACCCTCCGTGAAGGAAGGGTGGTTCTTGGACGTGGGAAAAACAGAAGCGCCGCGAAAGCCCTTTTTTCTTTTTCTTTTCTTTTCCCTGAGCGGAGTCAGTGAAAACTGTTCGAATTAACTGTTCGACCGCTGGTCAAATAAGCTGTCCGCGTTGTAAATAAATAGAATTAACTTGATTATGTGATATATATATTCTGTATTTGGCACGTGTGTACGCTTCGGGAGGCTGTACAAGAGGACGGGCACACGGGAACGTACAATATGGCCGCGGGACACGCACGGATGCGACGCGCGAATGTCCCGAACGCGATATTCTTTTATATTTATATTATATTTATGTTTACTTATTTTTATATTATATCTATATATTCATATATATATACATATATATATATATATATATATATATATATATATATATATATATATATATATATAT